GATTTAACCTTTATAATATCATTATAAGTTATAACTATGTTATTTAGTTGAAAGAATAATTGGTAGTAACCATCAAAAAGAAAATAAAATAGATGATGACAGTATTTTTTTTCCTTTTTTTGATTGTGTTGGTCAGTAAGAGGTAACAATGATTCAATATTTGAATTTCGATCGAAAGGAATGGAATCATAGAATGTCAGTTTTCGTCTTCATGTTATTCTTTAACATTTATTTTAAATCTGCATATCATATATAACTGGAAAGGAGATCTCTTTTTATCATCAACTTGAAAGATGTCTTTTTCTGTAGGTCATTATCAAACTATTGCTATTTGGGCTAGTTTATGTGCATTTACGTGTTTGTTTGTTTTTTCTTCTTCTTTTTTTTTTTTTTTCCTAGAACAATTATACCTTGAAAAAGATTGTATACTTGCATGCTTGTAGGGATATGAGTTTTTTCTGCAAGGTTATTTTTTTCCCCTAAAGTACAATTAAGTGTTTTTAATTAAAATAGTGATTGATACACATTTCAATTAACTTGTTATTTTACATGATTAAACATTTACTTATTAAAGTATTGAATTATTTGTCTTGTACTCTAAGAACATCTGCAATGGATGTTATTCAACACCAAATGCTACATCATTTTTATTCATATTATTTTATTCAATGTATACGAGTACTATTTAAATCTGAAGACTCTTCACTTTAATGCTGAATTTTAAATAAAACTTCTTAAAAATTACACTAATATTATTTTATGGGGTTAGTACTTGTCTACCTTACTTCTAAAAAATTAAGAGAAAAAAAGACAAAAACCACCTTAATGCATGCTTTAAAAATAAGGTAATTTAATCTTTTTAATAAAAATTTATTGAAACGACGTAATTTTGAAATAATTTTCCTTATAATCTTTAAGAAGTAAGGTTGATAGGTATTTTTTCTTATTTTATTCGACTAACATTCGTTAAAAAAAAAAAATAGTAATTTTTAGTTAAAAAGGAAGACAAGGAAATTTGGTGTTACCTTGCACAGTCACTTCCACTAACTTTCAAGTGACACTCCCACTGGCTTTCAAGTAACACTTAACCTATTGGAGATAATCTAGGGACAAATAATAAGAAGTGATTTTATTTGCGTAATAATTGTTAATTTTTACCTTAAAAAGGTGAAGTTCACATTTGCTTTAATTATAAATGTTTTGTTTTATTAATCTATTTTGAATTATAGAGGGCCCCAAAAAAATTTTAATTTAAATTATTGTATAAATTAAAACATATTTTTTTATCAATTTAAGAATTTTTTTCTTTTTTCAAAAGAAAAAATAATAATCATTATTTCGATAATGATAATATTATAATCGTAATATCATATAAAATTATAAATTTATATATATAATATAATATTAAATAAATTAATATATAATATTATAAATAAATTTTAAATAAAAAATTATTTAAATAATAATATATTATTTTATAAATTTATAATATAACATTTTGGCCCCTAAAATGTTTTTTCATCCTGTGCTTACATGGAAACCAATGCAGAAGTGGACCGTTGGAACTTGGAAGGAAATGGGCAGAAGTCAGAAATGGCGTGAAGTGCTGAAGGGGCCAATTCAACTTTCTTAAAACGAAAAGACAAACAGAAATTTTCCTCTTATCCATTACTCTGTTCGAGTCTCACCTTCAACCCGGATGAGCCAACACGGTGTTCCACAAACGTCTCCTTCTCCCCTGCTTTCCCATTGCTACAATAACATTCCAACGTCAATCATGCAAGCCCAAGAACGAAAATTTCGATCTTTCTCATTAATGGGACCACCCTCTCCCAAATCTATACAAATTTAGCAATAGTTTTAGGATGCCATGTTCAAAAGATTCATTCTTTGACATGAATTTGGCCTTTTGATTTCATTAAATGCCGGGTCAATTGGAGATTAGGATACTTTCACATTTTCTTCATTGATGGTAAAAAAACCGATCTTTATAGAAACAATCTAATGCAACCCGTTTTAGTTAAACACGATACGTTTAAGAAAACATGGACGTTAATGTATCTTCTTGCGTCTTCAGGTCAATCCAAGAACTTTCCAAGACAACTGAAACTGTGATCCGTGCTGAGATTCTCGCTTTCATTCAAGTTTTTGAGC